AGTGGCAACACCAGTTCCTTTTTAGTTTTGTGACAGAGCTCACTGGCTCTCATCCCATGATGTACAGATACATAACCTATAGGGCTCCATCACAAACCTAAAGAGAATCTGCCACAATGGCAACACGGGAAACTTCCCACATTATATTGGGATCAATGGTGGAAAACTGGGAGGCAGATGCTTCGCCCCATGGAATAAGGTGGGGGGAGCCTGGTGATGAGGGGTGCGGGCTATTGTCCCATGTTGGGCATCATCAGATTTGCCACAATCTGTGGAAATTCCGGCGGCACTTATGATGAGGTCATAAGTAACCTGATACTTATCATTTGGCTCTCAGGATCATAACATGGAATTTGTGAAAACTGAAACTTCTCCAAAGTATGGAGTTCAACTGGGAGTGTATTGTGATTTCTATAAGCATATTTTTATTGTTTGCATCCCAGGTGTACTTTATAGTTTGCTGCATTTGCTATTTGCGCCCAATATTAGTGCCAGAAGTCATTTTCTTTCCATACCATGTGATTTAGTACAGCAGTTGATAGCAGCAATATTCCTAAAGGAACAAAAACAAAAAAGTATTCTTATGATCTATATACATGTGCTGCCTTTTAATGATATTATATCATTATGTTGTATTGTTTCCATTGTATTTGTGAGATTGCAAGAGTAAGGTCACATAGATCCACAGTGCCTCTGATGTAAAAATCACAAAGATACAGAAATGCCAGAGATGAAGGCACCTCATACTAGGAAGGCATGGTATATCTTTTTCTCCTTAAAGGATTTTAAGAAGAAAGTAAGAAGAAAGATGGATGAAGCAGTGTTGCAACCAAGGAATGTAAACACTGCAGCATGCGAAGCCCTATTAAAATGTAGTGTATGAGATAGCCTCATTTGAAATTACCCAGAGTTTCTGGGGAATATCATAGCCCTAAGTGAAGATGTTCTTTTTGGATTAAGATATCCTAGATGTCTCATTTCTGTCAAGAAATGTAGATGAGGCCACAGGGTTGTTTTCATATTTAATGATGAATAAACTATTTATGTGGATCAGTTTAGATAAAGTATTTCAATGAGTTATGATATAGAAATTTCATTAGTGATCACGATGACTGCAATTCTTTTTCTCTGTGTCTTAAAATAAGACTACCATTGTTGACTCATTATAAACATATAAGCCTAAATCCAATTGATAGTTTCATTTAGAGTAGACTCATTCAGTTAATAGAGTATGTATCTTGATTTACTCATTTCCCATAGATTCAGTGACTAACACAATTATGTCTTTGAACTGATTCAGTGAGTTTGCTCTAGTTTGGAGAAACAGCTCTCTTCATTGATTTGCTTTTGGATAGAATGTGCTGGTGCTTACCTTTTAAAACTCAGTAAGGTTTGGTGGAGTGTAGAGTCTGAATATCCTAAAGGAACCAAATTCTGTTTGTTCTTGGATGCTAAGCAGAATTGGCCTTGGTTACTACTGGATGGGAGATCACCAACGAAGAGAGGATGCTTCAAACTATATTCATATTTCAGAGATAATAACTGGCAAAAACCATCCCTGAGGATTCCTTGCCTAAGAAAGCATTATGAAATTTATGGAGTTATCATAGGTTGACAGGAAGGGTGAAGGCACACATTTTTTGGGGGGGGGGGATCACATCCAGGAGAATCCCTTCCTATTTATGTTGTGAAAACTAAGGAAGGCAACTCTTTTATGGCACTATAATTGTGAAATACTCCCGCTGTATAGGTTTGCATAAAAAGTAGCCTCAGAGCCCATTTTGAGAGTTCCAATAACTCCCGTTAGCACTTTCATGATTCCCAATTTACTTGTTGGTTTTTCCTGGATTCAAAAAAGACCCACAGAAGGGAAAAACGGCAAAATTACTCCTTCAGTATTTAGGAACATTTTGTATTTTTATTAAGAGGGATTGGCGGCGGTGGCAGTAGTAGGGCATGTGGGTGGACAGTTTGGCCCCCCAAAGACTCTCACTTACTTGCTCCTGCTGTAGAGCTATACTTGACTACCACAAATCTTATAAACATTTAAGTTCCAAGTCAAAACCTCCCTGAGTGCTTGACCTCTTGCAATTTTACTCCTTTTGCCATTGTATTTTATGGTTTCTAACTGCATTTCTGTGGTAATATGGCTGGGTTTGGGTCACATTTATTGTTCACTGCTTTAATCCTTCAACAAAAGATGGTTTTTAAATAACCAAACGGATCTTGGCAATTGAAATCATTGGGCTTTCAAAGGGCTTAGATTTGACTGGATTGTGACCTTGACTTGTGGGTTTAGGGCCAGTGGCCAGGTTGTTCCTCCTTGTTAATAGTTCACTCATTTTCCCTCATGGGATATTGACGTTGGGAAGAAAATGACTTTTGAATCTGTTTGAAAAATTAGTTCTGAATAAGCCCAACGTTTCTAAGATTAGTAAACCTATACACCACATGGAATTTGAAAATGCTCTGTGAAGAAGGATAGTACCTCATTTAGCAGGGCACATATTTTGCAATTGGAAGGATATTAGCTTCATCTCTTGGCATCTTCAGCCTTTTTGCCGTCTGTCTTAGAAAACTAGTTATGACATAGGGCTTCCTGAGATTCTGGAAAGCCAGCGCCAGTCAGAATAGACTGGTATAAAAAAGCTGGCAGCTCTCAAGCTGAGCTGGAGGATGTTCATATGTCACTTAACGTTCCAGGCTCTGCTCCTACCACACAACTTGCACTCCTTTGTAATTTCAAACAAAATCTGTCTTGTTGCTAAGCCTTAGTTTTTGGTTCTCCTTCCCTCCTGGCTGGTGTGCAACTATCCTTGAGCAAGAATGAAAACATCACTCTCAGTCCGATTACATTTGCCAGCTGCCCATAGAATCATAAACTTTTAGAAGGGATCACAAGGACTATCTAGTTCAATTCCCCTGCCATTCAGGAATACCTACCCAAAGCACTCCTGAAAGATGCCTACCCAGCTTCTGTTCAAAGACATCCAACTGTGGAGACGTCACTACCCTTTAAGTCAATCTATTTCACCATCAAAGAAACCCTTACCATAATAAAAAAGTTCTTCCTAATGTTTTGGTGGAACCTCTTGCATTTTTTTCATTCATTGGTTGTGTTGTAATCTCAGGAGTAACAGAAAATAAGCTGGTTCAGATATTTAAATATTGCTGTAAGCCCCCCCCCCCCCAAGTTTTCTATTCTTCAAACTAAATACTCCCAACTTCTTAAGTCGTTCCTCATGGGGCTTGGTTTTCAGAGCTTTTATCATCTTGATCACCCTTCCAGCTTGTCAATATCCTTTTTGAATTGTGGTGCCTAGAACTAGGCACAATATATCAGATGAGGTCTGACCAAAGGCCAGTACTGTGGCACAACTACTCCCCTTGATCAAGACAGTGTTGGTTTGTCAGTGTAGCTGGGTTGTATGGGCTTGTTTGCATGTTGCAACACACCGTTGGTTCGGGTTCACTTATGTTTACTATCATGGAAAGCAACTCATTTTGACCCATTTGTCTTTCTGAAGGTACCAGATTATTCTCCTTTTCTTCTAGCATGGATCAACCGATTGGAGTCTGGGGGAATCTGTGTCTGGGACAGGTGCTTCCAAATCTTGTGTTGTGTTGGACTACAACATGCATCATCTCACCTTGTAAAATAGGGATTGGTTGAGGATAACGGGATTATGTATACCTGAATGGCTGAGGACTGGACTAGATGGCCCTTGGCATCTCTTCTCAAATCTATCATTATAATAGCACCATATTGTAGTTGGGTGCTTATACTGAAGTTTAGAGGGAGTGGCTGATCTGTTGCTCTCTAATAGAGTGGGCACAATGCAGGCTTCTGGGATTTGTTTATTTATTATGCAAGAACCCCGTGACTCACCAATAAAAAATATAGGTCATGCAGGCAAAATGATATTAAAAATTAAGGAGCTAATTGTAGCTAAATGTTGTTTTATTTTGGTTTTATGCTGTTGTTTATGTATTTTAGTGCATTACCTTTTAACTATGCTGATCGGGCTCGTCCCCATGTAAGCTGCCCCAAGTCCCTCCAGGGAGATGAAGGGGGGTACAAAAATAAAGTTGTTATTGTTGTTGTTGTTGTTATCTATCAAAGTATGTGCTTACACTGCTTAGTGCAGAGATTAGAGAATAGTATGAAATTAATGGGTTTGTCATTACATTGATAGGCAACTTGAAGACACATCAGAACCAAACTCATACATCCTTTCATATACAAATCATACACACCTTTGGCTCTTTCCTTCCCTTTTTTCTTTACTTTTTATTACATTTTAATATTTGGCTTTTTTCCCCTCAACACTTGAGACTCAATGGGATTCTCAACCTGGTTAAAAAAACAAGCATCCTTTTTCAGCAACCCAATGGTAGTGAGTTTTGTTCATGTGTTATTTTTTAAGTTGATACTATTGCTAGGCAACTGAGTATCAGAAATCCAGTGTAACCTATTGCAAATCGCCCTAAAGGTTGCCCATGGATCTCGATCCAACTTCTGATCATCATATTCTAGTGAGAATTCGCCACAAATGTGAGGGTGAATAGGTCTCTTAGGCCCCTTACACACAGCTGAATAAAATCCCACATTATCTGCTTTGAACTGGGATATATGGCAGTGTGAACTCAGATAATCCAGTTCAAAGCAGATATTGTGAGTTATTCTGCCTTGATGCTGTGTGGAAGGGCACTAAGTTTAGAGTTGCTATCATCCCCAACATTGTCCGCACTCAGATAATGTGGGATTTTCTGCCTTGATATTCTGGGATATAGGGCTGTGTGGAAAGGCCCTGAGAGAGAGTTACCGACGCTACATAAACAAATAGTCTATCTAAGTAGAAAACTGAGAAATCTATCACTATATATTACGCTAGATGACTTTTTAAAATGGGCATAGGATGGGACTCCAATTGCGACTTATGCCCGATAATTACGTGAAATATAATACGACTCATAATTCCACTCTGTCTTCTCTACAGGGCTTGCCTTTGCTGTTCTCTCTTCAGTGCATCCTGTTTTTGGATTATATGGCGCTCTCTTCCCAGCTGTTATTTATGCCATGTTTGGAATGGGCAGGCATGTTGCCACAGGTAAGTGCTTCTAAATCCTTGCAGACCAAATTTGAAAATACAACAGATGCATTTGTCTACCTATTTTAAGAACCTGTACCGCTTTGTTATAAAATATGACTTATCATATACAATGAGTTTAAAAGAACAACTGGTCCAAAAGAAGAACAACTGGTCTGTTTTCTGATGGAGGAACACTGAGTACCTTAATTTATTTCCATTATGTTTTGTGAAAGATGAACTGAACCCTCAGGTACAAGTCAAGCAGACAAGCATTATAATCATTTGTCGGAGGTTCAACAGCAGTGAATGGAGCATGGTTTGTTTGTGTGTGTGTGTCAGGAGTGACTTGAGAAACTGCATTAAACAACACAGTGTTTAATGTGGTGTACCTTCATTGGCTGTGTTCGTAAAGCCATTCGCTCAATGACCATTATATTTAGTTGAGCTGTTTTGAAGGTAATGTTCCAGACTTGCAACTTGTAGGACGTGGGAACTAAAAGAACTACATGAATGTGTGTGCCCATATGTGCAGATTGCTATACTTCCTCTGCAACTACACCCTCCTCCCCATTTAAGAAATAGTGGGGCCTAAGTACTCTAATGGCACCATACCCCATCTGCTTGTGGAAGCTAAACTGTGTCAGCCCTGGATAGTATTTAGATGAGAGACATCATCACAATACCAGATGATGTAGGTTATATTTCAGAAGAAGGAACAGGCAGTACCCACCTCTGAGTATTTCTTGTTTAAGAGAATGGGATGAAGTTCATGTAATTGCCATAAGCCAAGAGGTGACATGAAGGCACAAACACACTTCAGAAAGTTAGTTTAAGTTTGTATAAATCAGTGTTTCTCAACCTTTCCAATGCCACAACTACTTAATACAGTTCTTCATGTTGTAGTGAACCCCCAACCATAAAATTACTTTTATTGCTACTTCATAACTGTACTTTTGCTACTGTTATGAATTGTAATGTAAATATCTGAAATGCAGGATGTATTTTCATTCACTGGACCAAATTTGGCACAAATACCCAATACGCCCAAATTTGGTGAGGTTGGGAGGGGGATTGATTTTGTCACCTAGGAGTTGTAGTTGCTGGGATTTATAGTTCACCTAAAATAAAAGAGCATTTTGAAATCCATCAATGATTGAATTGAACCGTTCTTGGCACACAGAACTCCCATGGACTATCACCATGACCAACAGAAAATACTGAAAGGGTTTGGTGGACATTGATCTTGAGTTTTGGAGTTGTAGTTCACCTACATCCAGAGAGTACTGTGGCTCAAACAATGATGGATCTGTACCAAACTTGGCACAAATACTCAATATGCCCAAATTTGAACACTGGTGGAGTTTGGAGAAGACCTTGATATTTGGGAATTATAGTTGCTGGGATTTATGGTTCACCTACAATCAAAGAGCCCCTTGAACCCCGCCAACAATAGAATTGGGCCAAACTTCCCACACAGAAGCCCCTTCACCAACAGAAAATACTGGGGGGATTTGGGAGGAATTGACAGTGACTTAGGGAGATGTAGTTCACCTACATTCGGAGAGCACTGTGAACCTAAACAACAATGGATCTGGCACAATACCTGATATGCCAAAATTTGAATACTGTTGGGTTTGGAGGGCGGGGATTGATTTTGTCATTTGCAAGTTGTAATTTCTGGGATTGATATAAGCACCTGCTCTTCCCCCCTTGCTTGAAGTCTCAGAAACAGCCCTCCCCTTGGCTGAGAGGCCAGCTAAGAGGGTGGCTAATCACAGTAGAGGAGGATTTGCCATCTGTTTCCAAAAAGGAAGAGAAGGACAGGTGGGGAGATCTTCAGCCTTCTCTGCCAAAGGGGTTCCAAAGACCATCAGAAATACGGCGACCCCTCTGAAACTCCCACATGACCTCTACAATGAGTCCTGACCTCCAGGTTAAGAAATGCTGGTATAAAGCATAATTCTGATTTATTGTTTGTATTTGCATCTTTAATACTGCATCAAGATTTCTTCTCTGCAAAACAAGTGTTCAAATGCCTTTTATTATCAGACTGATCTTACATCTTGCTGTCAAGTAGAGATAGAAAGAATATTTGAAAATATTCAAAAATATAATTTCTGAGTTGTCAGACTGTTTGAGATTTCTTTACAAAAGTGGCACATAGTATTTTCTGCAAAAAAACCCAAACAAACCCAATATTTTCTTCACAGAAAACAGCAAAACAAAAACTCCATACACCAATTCTGCATATAGTAAGTGCCAAGATGCAAATCATCTTTGAAAACCCTGTGGCTTTTGACATCTTTTTTGCTCTGGGAAGAAAATTGCCAAAAATTACTTGTAGCTTAGCAATTAGCAGTGAATTATGTCCGTATTGTGAAGAGCCAACACTAATGGAAAAACACCAAGGAGAGCCCTTCAGTATCAAACAAATTATTAGATTAACTAGTCCAGCATAATGTTTCCAGAATCCTATGAGCCAACCCAATGCTCATCTGAAACTTAAAAAGAATACAAGCGAGCTGCAGCCCTTTCCCATTGTCTTTTGGAAATATGTGTACAACAAATTGCTGCTTCTGATTCTGAAGATAACATACAGTTATTCTGCTAGCAACAATATATGGCTTACTCATGTGAGCACGTGTGAGGAGAAAACTCGTCTTAGATGTAAATTGGGTGAAAATCAAAGCGCAAGCCCATATTACTAATAATAGAGAAACCACATTTATATCAAATCATGCACATTGAATATCCATTGTTACTTGCTGTAGATACAGTTTCTATTTTCCTTGAATAAGTAAATTTCCAATGGCTGTTTCCAGTTAATCATTTATCGGGTTTATGCAGATGACTCTCACTGCATAAGATCAGAATGACCTTAACAGATCAGAGAGCTGACTCAAACACAACCAAGTGAATTTCCAATAGAGAGAAATGTAGGTTACTGTACTCAAGCAGAAAAAATAAATAAATGCACAGATATAGGAAGGGTTGTAATAACAATACATGTGAAAGGGGTCTAGAAGTCTCATTACACCACAAACATTCAACAGTGTGATGCAGCAGCTAAAAAGCCAATGTGATTCTAGGCTACATGCATATGTATTGTATATAGCTGGCATCTAATGGTTGCCTTTTGTAAGCTGCCCTGAGTCCCCCTCCAAGGGTGAGAAAGACAGGATATAAATACTAAACAAAATCAATCAGTAAATACATCAGTTGAGTTATAGTGTCAAGAGCAAGGGAAGTAATAGTGCCACTCTGTTCTGCTTTAGTCAGACCTCACCTGAAATACTGTGTTCAGTTTTGGGCATCACAGTTCAATAAGCTGGAACGTGCCCAGAGAAGGGCCATCTAAACGATAAAAGATCTGGATGCCCATTTCTATGAGGAAAGGCTTAGGAACTAGACACATTTTATCTGGAGAAGACAAAGTTAGAAGGTGACAACGAGGGATCGCCTAAGTAAGTAAGTAAGTAAGTAAGAAGGTGACATGATAGCCTTGTGTAAACTATTTGAAAGAATGCCATATTGAAGATGGAGCAACCATGTTTTCTGCTCCTGCAGAGACTCAGATACAAAGCAATGGATTCAAATTGAAGGAAAAGAGATTCCACCTAAACATTAGAAAAAACATCCTGATAGTAAGTGCTGTTTGACAGTACAATATGGTACCTTGGAAGGTGGCGCATCTCCTTCTCTGGAGATGTTTAAACAGAGGTTGGATGGACAACAGTCAGAAGTGTCTTGGACATGTTTTCTGAATGGCTGGGAATTGGATTGGATGGCTTTTGTGGTCTCTTTCAACTCTATCATTTCTGAATTTATCTAAATGACCAGATTCCCTTGAGATTGTGTGGCTGGAGGATGAAAAGTTATCTCTGTTATATTTATAGAAAATGAAGATATCAAGTGAGAAGGCTGAATTATTTCATCCATACAGTAACAGTTTGATGTGAGGGAGAATTTAGACATCTTTATGGTCTACCATCAAGAGCCACCCAGAACTTTGAGAGCTGGGAGGAGTGCCTTCTTCAAATATCATACTCCACACTTTGTTGCCTTCACTCCTTCCCCTGGGCTGGAAGTTTTTACCTTACTATGGTAGTCTTGAAGACTTTGATTTGGAGTAGGTTGCCATTGAACATCAATCTTGATCATTCACATTTGATTTCATTTCATAAATTGGTTGAACTAATAAATTTCATTAGTTCAACCAAGCCCTTGTATTTTCCTCTTTATTTCCTTTCTCTCTCTGCAAATATTATTTTTGGGACAGAAGATAATGCACTTGGAGACTTGTTCTGCACAAAGCTTTAGCAAAAAGAGCAGCATTGTCTGCATAGAAAACAGCATTTTCTATGCAAAAAACAATATTTTGTTCAAGAAACATTATTTTCTGCATATGCAACAATATGCAAATTCTTCTTGTAGAAATTGGTTTTAAAATGCCACCCCTAGTAAAAAGTCTAAGTTTAGCAAATCTAAGAAAAAAAATTCCAGATCCAGGAAAGGTGGTTGCTAGGCCTGTGCGGTTTCGTTCGTTAATTTGTTAATTCGTTAAACATTCGTTAATTTTAGCATATACGAAATGACAACAAAACATATTTCCAAACCCGGAAGGGTTTATAAATATCGAAACGGCAACCCCCACAGTTTTAACGAGCTTTCGCCCGTTTCGTAAATGGGGCGGGCGGGCGGGGCGAAGGGGCGGCGCGAGCGCGCACCCAGTGAGCCAAGCCCCGACCCTGCCTGTTGGGCGCGAGCGCAACCGGCTCCCGATTGACTAACTGCCCGATTCACAGAATGGTATTATACGTACGCGCATGGAGACAGAGCCGGCGCTGCAGGAATCCCCTCCCCGGCTCCTGCGCTCCGGCTCCGGCTCCTGCGCCCTCCTCCTCCTCCTCCTCCTCCTCCTGGCACTTCCTGCAACACAGCTGCGGAGGCCGGTTGTCTCTTTAAGGCGCCTCTCTCTCCCAGCTGTGTTGCTGCCTTAAAGAGACAACCGGCCTCCGCAGCTGTGTTGCAGGAAGTGCCAGGAGGAGGAGGAGGAGGAGGAGGGCGCAGGAGCCGGAGCCGGAGCGCAGGAGCCGGAGCGCAGGAGCCGGGGAGGGGATTCCTGCAGCGCCGGCTCTGTCTCCATGCGCCTATGAGCTCAGTGTATGTATAATACCATTCTGTGAATCGGGCAGTTAGTCAGACCCATCTCTTGACTAACTGCCCGATTCACAGAATGGTATTATACGTACACTGAGCTCATAGGCGCATGGAGACAGAGCCGGCGCTGCAGGAATCCCCTCCCCGGCTCCTGCGCTCCGGCTCCTGCGCTCCGGCTCCGGCTCCTGCGCCCTCCTCCTCCTCCTCCTCCTCCTGGCACTTCCTGCAACACAGCTGCGGAGGCCGGTTGTCTCTTTAAGGCGCCTCTCTCTCCCAGCAACACAGCTGGGAGAGAGAGGCGCCTTAAAGAGACAACCGGCCTCCGCAGCTGTGTTGCAGGAAGTGCCAGGAGGAGGAGGAGGAGGAGGAGGAGGGCGCAGGAGCCGGAGCCGGAGCGCAGGAGCCGGAGCGCAGGAGCCGGGGAGGGGATTCCTGCAGCGCCGGCTCTGTCTCCATGCGCGTACGTATAATACCATTCTGTGAATCGGGCAGTTAGTCAGACCCATCTCTTCTGATGACAAATGTCACACCTATCACATAGGAGTCCTTCCCATGTAAGCAACATCTGACCGAATTCATTCTTCTATACAACTGGGAAAGATACAGGAGTTCTGCTCCTAATAAAGATGGGAATAATATGTGAAAATATTCTAAAATGCAAAAGAATGTTTACTATCAAGTAACCCTGATGAAATGAATCCTGGATTGATAAGAAACTTTGCAGTTATACGAATAACGAAGCTTGTTTTACGCATGCGCGGGGGTCCGCCATCTTTACAAAATGTTTTGTAAATATTTACAAAATTTCGTAAATATCAAAACTTTTTTTGGGAAAATTTTGTAATTATTTTAAATATCGAAACAAAAAAACACCCCAATTACAAATCGATTTTAGAAACAAATTTTTTCTTGATCAAACAGGCCTAGTGGTTGCATCCTAGTGATTGCTGTTTCATCGTAGTGTCTGTTTGAATCCATTTATGTCAAGGCTTTTGGTCTGATATAACATATCCTTCTTTATCTCCATCTCCCTTTGTAATGTAGACTAAGGGCCCTTCCACATAGCCCTATATCTCAGAATATAAAGGCAGAAAATCCCACAATATCTGCTTTGAACTGGGTTATCTGAGTCCACACTCAGATAATGTGGGATTTCCTGCTTTGATATTCTGGGATATAGGACTGTGTGGAAGGGCCCTATGAAATTCTTGAGATGGAGGGAGTGCTGTGTACATTGATAGCAGTACCCATATAAATGACACCACTAGTTTCATTGGTCATAGTACAGCAAATTGATTTGCAAGATTCTGTCCCATTGCTACAAGGAATCTACCACCATCTGTATTCACGTTACTGTTGGAGTTCAATGAACCTAGATTATAATTTATAACTTCTGATGGACATCCCAATTAGGAACAAAGGAAGGCTCCCCCTCTCAAGATAATAATTTGAGGCAATGACCTCCCAGAACGAGAAGCAGAGGACGCTTCTCCCTAAAAAAGAGACCATCTGGTCCCAGTTGCAGAAAACAATGGAGTGGGGTATGGGGGTCATTGCTTCTCTTTAGTTAAAAGAGTCTGGAAAGGATGAAGGAAGAGAAAGAACTGTGGGAGTCTTTCAGATATTGGGGAGGGGTGTTTTGCCTTGGAAATTCATAGCTCCGTGGAACCACACACAAAGCTAACCCCTCAGGGTTTGAAAAGCCCAAGTATATGCACATTCCGGTTGGTTGTTATTATGCTTTCTAAGGAGCAATCATTGTCTTTTGAGTAATTGCGTGGTTTCTCCAAAAACGGTCTGTATGCCAAAACGTGCATTCAGTGCTACGTTTAACAGCTCTGTAGGAGCCATGTGGTCTACTGGGAAAGCAACTTTCTGTCCAAAGTACATAGAATTTGCATTGAAACGTATGCAAAGCATATTGTCAAAGGCCCCTTGCAACTCACTGGCAAGTTGGATTTGAATTTTGTGGCAAGTTCCTTGGAAGCTATGATAACTCTGAATCAGCAAAGTAGACATTACGTAGTTATTTCATTTTTAGTGAAATAATTGCCCAACTGGGACAAGCTTGGTTTCTTCATGAAAGGCACTTAAGCCATCTGGTACTTTGGAAAAATGTTGTTATGTGGTTGGATTTTCATTTTTTTAGGTGAGCAGTACAATTGACACACAATCTCCTCTGTCTAGCTCACCTTTAGGTGAAATAAACATTTCCAAAAGGAAAGTGTTGTTCATCAGCAAATTCTGATAGGTGAAGGAGTTATATTGTCCATTGAATGTAACTTTGGAGATGCTATATTTGTTTGTTTGTTTTTTGTCTCTGAAGTACAATTTCTAATCCTTGTAAGTCTGAGTGATTTTATGATTCTTTAATGAGGGGAATGTGTATCCCTCCAGATGCTCCTGGACAGCAACTCCCATCATCCTTCAAACTACTGGTTTTTCTGCCTAACTATGATGGGAGTTACAGTTTAATCTCTGGAGTGATATACATTTTCCACCCCTGGTTTCACAGATCAGTGAGAGCTATCATATTGTTTTATAATGTTTCCTTTAAAGAGTAATGCAGTCAACCTTCCCCATTTGCTGGGGTTAGGAGTGCAAGCCTCAGTGTAAACGGAAAATCTGAGAATTAAAAAATGCTCTTCTTTACCCAAGAAAACACCTCTCTAGGAACTCTATGTTCTCCAGCATGGATCTAGAGTTAGATATACACTGGAAAACCTAGAGATTCCTAGGGATAACATATAAATCAAATATGTGACTAATCAAATCCACAGAACTCAAACATGCAAATCTGGAAGGATAACTATTCTTTTATGAAATGGTGGAAATAAATTAAATATAGTTGAGTGACTATAATCCTAAATTTGCGTAATAAAAAGGAGAAAGCTCTACTGGATGCATTGGGCTTTCTTGCAAATAAACAGGACAGAATTTCATTGAATGAAAATGCATAGCAAAGACATCTCTGTTTGATAATTTACCTTGACCATATTTGCATCTGTAGATAGACAGCCAACTCTAAGTACCCTTCCCTAAACTGGTAATCACAGGATTCCATGGGATTTTTTTTCGTGTCGGGAGCAACTTGAAAAACACGCTTCTGGTGTGAGAGAATTGGCCATCTGCAAGGGTGGCGCAATGGGTTAAACCCTTGTGCCAGAAGGATTGCTGGCTGATAAGTCAAAGGTTCAAATCCGGGAAGAGCAGGTTGAGCTCCCTCTGTCAGTTCCAGTCCCCATGTGGGGGCATGAGAGAAGCCTCCCACAAGGATGGTAAAACATAAAAACATCTGGGTGTCCCCTGGACAATGTCCTTGTATTCCACAGGATGAAACCATGACACTTAACAAGTGGAGATATAGCAGGGTTATTTTGTAATGTAAAAGGGCAAAAAGTCTTTGTTGCAGACCTCTCTTTTGAACAGTGCTAGCTGTGACCTCTGTCAATGGGGCAGTGAATCCACTGCAGCCTTTAATCTGAATTTTAGAAGAACAGTCCATGGTGCTGAACCTTGTTTGAGGATTGGCTTCAGCATCTTTCAGAACTCCATCAAAGTTTCAATTCACCATTTTTTAATGAATTCACATCAGTCACCACCACTACTGTTAGGTGGAAGCTTGTCATACTACTGTACTGTCCAAATCTGTATAAATTTCATGTGTAATACGGATTACACCACAGGTATGCAGCTGCATACAGGCAGAAAGGTTGTTTTTATAACTATTTGCATTGTGTGTGCATGGGCTTGGAATAAGCAAATACATTTTCATGGCAAGGAGCAAATACCTAAAGGTAATGTGCTGAGGAAACAGAATATATACTTAGGGCAATGCAGATGTAGTTGTAGGTTTGTTCCTGAACCCCAAACTGACAGTTTAAGCAAAATGTTTTGGACATAATATTTACACATTTCAATGGTACTTCCCTCTTAGGATCACAACAAGAGACATCTTGAAGTGGAAATTAAATTATTTATCTTCTTCTTTCACAGGAACTTTTGCTTTGACTTCCTTGATATCTGCCAATGCTGTTGAGCGCCTTGTTCCACCTGTGAGGAACAATTTCACAACAAACAATACCTCCGCAGTCTTGGGTTTGTCTGATTATGAGATGCAGAGGATTGGAGTTGCCGCAGCAGTTTCATTATTAGGAGGGCTCATTCAAGTAAGTGTAACATGATTCCACCAATGTTGACTACATCATTCCAAGCCTACTCAAACTGATGGAAATCCTATCACAGGGCTTTCTTGACAAGAATTATTCTGAGAAGGTGTGTCATTGCCTTCACCCAAAACAGAGTGTGACTTGCTTAAAGTCAGCCAGTGAGTTTCTGTTTCTGGAGTCCTAGCCAAACACTTACCATGCCGGCTCTAATTCCTTCAGTACATGAGTGTAATATCAGATAAGCAGTGTAATATCAGATAAGCGGTAAATTAAAGTTCCTCCTTTTGCTGCTGGTCCCAGGGGACACTATGAAGTCCACTCAGATGATCTGAGGTATAAAATTATGTAAGCAGTATGAAAAGAGAACCTATTGCTACATCTCCAATACCACAAAAACCAAGAATGAAAGGAGCTTTGTTCCTTCATGCAATTTTACAAATAAAATCGGCACAACATCTCTAGTATTTCAGTTGAGCTGATTCCTGCTTAGATTTTGGGAAATGGCTCTGCTTGATTCACCAAGTTATTTCTGAACCCAGCAGCTATTGCTGTTCCCCATCTTTCCTCCAATTACCTAATGTTCTTCTTACTCCTCATGTTAGCCACATGAAAACCATGGGAAGTAGGTCAGGCAGAAAAAGTGGGTTTCGTGGCTCAGTGGGTTCAGAAACCAGTTCTCCCAAGCCCACTCCAGCTCTTTAATCACTACACCACATTGGCTCCGCACCATGTGTAAGACCACACATTCTAATTCCCAAGGAGGCACCTACAAAGAATAAATGGTGGTTGATTCAGATGATAGCCCTATGAAGATGGAAGAAGCTGGTGTATCATGCTGCGTAGACAACAGTTTCTTTATTCGTAGGAAAGTTTATTGCAAATATCACATGCTGTGGTACACCCTATTGCTTCGTAAGACTCTTCCCAGGTTACGGTCCATTTGACCAATTTAACAAGGAGATCTGAGCCTTTCACTGTCTTAATCTATTTGGTGCACTTTTCTATAAAACATAACTGAAGATGAATCTTGAGCTTGTTTGGAAGGGTTCTGTAATTTCACATAAAACAGCCAGTAGGTCTAATCGACCTGCTTAACATCCTTTGCAAATTGAGAATACTGATGATAGCATCTTTTTAACTGGGGGCATAGTGCATGCCACATTTACATCACCGGGGGGCTAATAAATAATTATCTTTTTCAGATACTGAGGTATGAACATTGTAGATGGTTTCACATATAATAGTAACTTATCTTTATCAAAGAATAATATGAATACAGTTCATAAAGATATTCTTAACAACCAGGATATCTTGGGGCAGTGAGATCAGAACTGGTGTTTCTATAGGCTCTGGACTCTATAAAAGGCCTCCTGGAAGTCTGTCGAGGGTGCTTTGAATGCAATTTTCCTGCTTCTTGGCAGGGGTTTGGACTGGATGACCCACAAGGTCTCTTCCAATGCTATGATTCTAGGGTGTTGGCTTATCAGCTAGTGGCTGAACAAACCAATGTCAAAGATACTTACTCCAAATACAGAATGGTGAGCTTCTATGTGTACTTATGAAAGAAAGTGCTTCAAAAATCTGATCATTTATTGCAATTTTGATTCAAAACAAAGGCAACTAATGGCTCCCACATATATATCACAGATGAAAACTATGTCAGGGCAGAGTATGATAAAGATGATATAATCTAATGAGGAGGAAAACACAGGAAATGAGAAATTGTAGCAGTTTGCTTTTACCCTTAGTCTAGTAGGAAGAGTTAGATTCTGCTCCTTCCTCTTCCCTCTTTCCTGCTGGAATAACTTTGCAGCCAGTGAAATAATGTCCTAACTTTGCAGCCACTGACACAGAAGCAAAAATGGGAGGAGCGAGAAACTGACATTTTAAAAACAACTGGAAAAGTGGAATGACAGAGTGTTAATAGGAACTGTCACAGCCAAATCAGTACAGTTGGAAACTATACTTCCATGGTACTAAAGTGATATGTCATATCTGGCTTGTGGTTCAAACTATATGAGGAGCTTTACCAAAGGAAGGGGAAGAGCATCTTGCTTTGCTTCTTCAAAGTTAATTCTAAAATCAAGAGTAGATTCACTGGACAGCTAACTTAGAACTCACCCAGCTGTCAGTGATCTGTGTAGATTAAATTAAAAATTGGCATTAAATTAAAAATATGTGTCCAAAGTTCTGCTTCTTTTCTATGAATTTGTGCACATTATATCAAATGTATATTGCTTGTGTAGATGTGAGTTCTATCCAAAATATGTTTTAAAGAAATGGACAAAGCTATTTTAGTTTTTTATAAATTAAATTTCATCATTCTCTGTCATGTACAAGTCACCCTTCAAATAATTCATTCAACAGCACATATGCACACAAGTGCACACACTGCTATATGAAAATGTTGGATACATAACTACATAATAGGCTGTGAATGGTCTATACCATTGATTCGCAACCTATGGATCCCCAGGTGTTTTGGCCTACATCTCTCAGAAATCCCAGCCAGTCTACCAGCTGTTAGGATTTCTGGGAGTTGAAAGCCAAAACATCAGGCTGAAAACCACTGGTCTACACAAATTCTTTTATGGCAAAAATGCACAACTTGTTGGACTGTTTTGTTGCACAGAAATAATTTCCACCACTTCTAACACATGATGCACAATTTTATGTGTACCACAAATGGGATGAACCACACACTGGACTCTTGTGGTTCTCTAAAGAAAGATTTTTTTGGGTCGTGTTTTGTAGGAGCCTGGAAATCAAGAGCTTGTGTGTTTTTCTATGGACATTTTACATTGTTGTGTATATGAAACTGGCTTAGTCTTTTTGTTTTTGTTGTTCTAAATTAGCTTCTCCACACAGACTCTTGTAAACAGCCCTATGTTCGAAATACTTTGTTATTAGCTACTGATAGACTGTATCGGAAAGAAAACATCTTTTGTTCTCATTCAGCCTGGCAACAAGAGCTAATCAGGCTATTCTGTTGTAATCACTATTTATCTAATGGCAAAGTAAGGAATGCTTTTGAACTACTACTCAATAGCTAGTGAACTGTGGGAAAATGTGTGCCATTTTTCTCCAAAAAATTTTCTTCACTAAATCTCTGAGCAGCAGAGGCAGGGTTGCTGCCTTTTGTCATTTTCAGCTTTATGTGTTTTCTCTCCTATTTCCTTTCCAGTTAACACTTTACCTCACCAGCATCAGATCCTATTTTTTTCTGGGCAAGTGTGAATGTCAGCAGTTTCTTGAACAATCATAAGCAAACCACACAAGATGTTAGGTGACTAAAACCACAACTTTATTTGGTTACAGCTAATCAGGGTTGGCACACCCATTGGGTCATGGATTTCCTATCTGTTCCTGGACCTCCAGGGCAAATTGCAGTGTTTGAGCCTAAAATGAAGGCAACCGAAAACCTCTGCTGTATAAGTTTTACTAAGAAACCCTTAGGAGAGGGTCATCATAGGGCAGAGTTGACTTGAAGGCAAATAACAATACATTTCAGTGGAGCCCTGAAATTCTCCAAATGCTGACTGATTTTAGCGTGCTTGGTTATTACTGAGAAGTCCTATCTCTGCAGTACAGAGATTTAATTGGATCTGACTTAGAACTTGGAAAAATTACTTTTGGAAGATAGCTCTCAAAATCCCTCCACTCCTGTGGTCATGCTGGCAGAGATATTGTACGAGTATACAGAGAGGAACAAAACCCAAAGAAATTCTGCTACTTCCCCTTCTAGGTCAGTGCTATCCCTTTGATGAATCTGTTGGACCCATTCAACAATCCAGTCCTCATTTGTTTCCAGCCAAATATAGTGGTGGTCACAACACATTTTTCATATACCCTGACCTATTATCCTGAATAAGAGACCTATTTGTGTCCACTTTAAAGTCCATTTCTATTGAGCAGGCTTGCCAAAAGTGAGTGACGCCCTACTAAAACATAATGTATTTTCATACCATTAGCTTACCCTTTCTTTTTTGTGATGGCTGATGGCCAGCAGTTCATCTAAACAAGGTATCTCTTTTTCACACTGCTGATGTTGGAAGGGCACAGTTATTTTCCTGTGTCCATTTGTCCTTGAAGTTGTTCTTTTTTATTTTTAATTTCACAGTAGTTCAGTTTTTCTGGTGGCAACAGTGTTAGGATTTATGCAATGAACATTTGTAAAATGGTTTAACTGTTGGCTTAGCAGTGTTGAGAGATTACCACAATCCAACTGAGTTCAGCCTTCTTAAAAAAAAGCTAATTGATGAACAGTGGCCAATGGATCTAATCAGTAACATTAATAAAATGAAATATACACCTTCTCCCAGATTTTAAATGTGGATATTGGACATCCATAGCATCTCTTTCTACAACATTTCCTCCATTCAACCCTTCTTGGTGTGGTGTTCTTGGGTTGGCCCCACATGTTTATGGTAGCAATTAGTACAAAGGTGATAGCTACAAGAACTAGCCCAAGATTAATTCTTCCCATGCTTTGCTGGATTGCAGGGTGGGAAACTGGTAGGGTTCAGCGACGAATAGTCCTCATGGGTCACATCACCAATACAAACTCAAAATACCCATGTTTTCTTCTGTAATCACTTCCAAAATGGCAGTAGGGAAAGAAGTACTTTCTCTTCTTTTTTCCATCTGTAAAGGAAAAAATATTTATTTCTTCTGCAGATATTCTCAAAATGGAGACAGGAAGTGAAGGCCAATCCCTTTGAGTTTTCTTAGCATTTAGCACCTTAATGAACTGAACTAAGTCTTCTGAAAAATGTTTTCTTATCTTGAAGTTCACCAATTCCATTAAACTGACTTTTGAAAAATATGTAGAATAAAAATGTCCTTCTTTGCCCAGGGGCCTCCAATATATTGCAGGGTTATGTTATCTGTTGGCTCTCTTAGAATCATGGGATCAGTAGAGCCATCTAGGGCTTTGAATTCCAAAGGCCTCACCCAAAATTACATTTCCCAGAATTCTGCAGGAGCTAGAAGATGCCAAGGAAGCAGGGGTACATGCATCAAAACACTAGTCTCATGAAGCCCCTAGTCTAACACAGGAATACCTGCTTAAGGACCTCTTGGAGGACTCATCTACGTTAGCATTATAACCTGAACTCACTCTGAGGTCACTTCTGGAAATCCCCAGGATGTACCTCTGAAGCAAACCTTTGGTTTCGGGACAGTTATGGTCAGCAGATTGGGAACTGATTTAGACTGTTCTACTGTCTGCAGAGCCACCCCCCCCCCCTCTTTATAAGACAGGATCTTTATAAGACAGGCCTACTTCTTCCTCCTGGTTGCATAGATACCTCTGTCAAATAAAGCACAGGAAGCCTGTGATGGATCCAAGCTCATATGGAGCGCTAGGGTCATCTGGGAGCAGCAACATTACCTGGATGTCCCACCAGGGCTGATGTGATTTTGGTTTGGCTGGACTATGTAGACCCTGACACACCACTGTAGTGTGTTTGGGAGGGTGCATGTGGCCACCTTTGAGGTCAGTCTAGAGCAGTGGTTCTCAACCTGTGGGTCCCCAGGTGTTTTTGCCTACAACTCCCAGAAATGCCAGCCAGTTTACCAGCTGTTAGGATTTCTGGGAGTTGAAGGCCAAAACATCTGGAATCCACACTGGTCAAGAGCATTTCTGGCTACACTTTGCTACGGATTTACCAATAAATGCACAACCTAAAGAGGTCAAACCTAAAGAAGCTCTTACAATCAGGAAGTTCCACCTAATGTTTAGGTGAAATCTATTTTCTTTTAATTAATCAATTGGTTCATATTTCAGTTTCTGTAGCAGAAAACAAACTTCTATTCACTTATTTAAATACAGGCACTATGTCCCAACTTCCAGTCTTCTCCAAGCTAAACCTAGAGATGCCTAGAGAGGTATTAAAATGTTTCTTAAATTTGTTTTCCCACTTACTGTATTTGGAAGTCCTGCACCCCTCAACCCCATGAAGGTGGAGGGCCTACTATAAAAATGCTTTTGTCCACAGGGCAGTTTTTTGGTGTGCAATACACACCATTAAAATGCCCTGAGCCAGAAAACATACTGTCACATAAGATAGAACATTTCTTTGGAGAAGTTGTGTATTGCTTTTGTTTGTAAAAAAAAAAAAAATGTAACCACTACAAGTAAAACAGATTTTTCTTGGGTAATTTATTGCTCAACTGGAAACAAATTCTGTTTGTCAGAGGGCTGTAAACTGACAATACTGTCAACACTGTAGGCCATAAAATATCTACCTTGTATATCTAGTTTGGTGTGAATTTGTCAAGAAAATCCTTTAATGAAGCAAGAGCTGGAAAAAGTTATAAAAATATAGAAAAGTATAATAAAGTAAAATTAAATAGTGGCAATAGCTCTAATTAACTATACAGTTTAAAGACAAAAACAAAAAAAGCTAAAGCCACAACTGAGACCATACAAAACTGCTAAAAGCTAAGAGTGACTCTCAATAAAAATGTAGGCTTGCAGTAATTAAAAATAAAACAAATGAAAATCCTTAAGCTCCTTTTATATTCAAAGAATGGAGAAATAATGGAGGACTCACTGAACAAGTTCAGCAGTTTACCAAAATTCAATCGAGTGCAGCTACTTGGAACAATTAAAACAATTCAGAAAAAGAAAAGAAAAAAAGACACAAGGAGCAGTGGAGCTCAGAACAAAATAACTTTTCATGGCACAATTTTGTTCATCTTCCCCCTTGTCAAGAAAATGTAATTTTGGGGCATGGATGAGGATTGAGTTGAATCGGGCTACCGTACTCTGGGTGGCTTACTTTTCTCCTCTAGTATTCTGTATAGTTTTAGATGTTGGTGTAACTGAGAAAACAACAGTGTAAGCCAATATTCAAAGAAGTCACTTCACTGAATACATATTGGCAGAACCAGCTGTTATTCTAACTAATCCCAACACAGAGCCTGGTAAACCAGTGATATGAAAGAGATAGCATTTAGTAAATGTATGGAAGTGGACATGTGTTGAACATTTGCCTGTGGTCTATGCAATGTGTAATTCAACAACTTTACTGTTTGACTAGCTCATGTAGCTATCTCATCCCCCCGCTTTTTTTTGTTTTTTTAAGTGGATGGATATATTGCTTTATTGAATTAGTACCAGTAACTACGTCCTTGTGTAACCACTGCTATATATTTTTGGTTTCTTAGGTAGCAATGTTTGTGCTGCACTTGGGCAGTGCCACCTTCTTGCTCACGGAGCCAGTGATAAGTGCAATGACAACGGGAGCAGCGACGCATGTCGTGACTTCACAAGTGAAGCACCTATTGGGAATGAAAATGCCGTACATCTCAGGACCCCTGGGATTCTTTTACGTGAGTTTATATGTAAAGCCTTGCCCCCCCCCCATCTTTGCATTTCAGCTTAAATTGTAAGATCCAGTCACAGTACCAATCTTTCCTCAAGTGAAAACACGCAAAAATACCTTGAGAATCCTGTACTACTCCCAACCACCTCTGTTTTCCCCCATATCCTCTCTCAAAATGGTGACAGGAGACTAGACAATGCCACTTCTTGTCACTATTTTGAGAAAGACTGCAAAGGAAAATACAAGTACTTAAGTTTGGCATGTGTGTGCATGTGTCCAATAGGAGGAAGTCTGAAGGAAATGTCCACTCAACCACACACAGTTGCCCATCCCTGTCTGAGTGCAAGGTTACACTGGCCAGTAAATTTGTGGCCAGCTTGGAGCAGCAATTCCAATACCTGAAGCAGTAGTGTCTATATCAGTGGTTCTCAACCTGTGCGTCCCTAGATGTTTTGGCTTTCAACTCCCAGAAATCCTAACAGCTGGTAAACTGGCTGGGATTTCTGGGAATTCAAGACCGAAACACCTGAGGACCCACAGATTGAGAACCACTGGTCTATATGGTCCAGCCGGGCCAAGTCCACAGCAGTCTTGCTGGACCATCATGCTACTGTTCATGTTTCCGGTTTCAGGTGACCAAAGAGTTCCAAGAAAAATGGAGGACTAAGTTTCTCCATCTTCTTGTTCTTTTAGACACTTTTGTAACCATTTGAGAATAGTGGTGGCTGCAACACCACATTAAGTTGGTTTTAGATGTCTGGTTTGTTCTGGGTTTATTGTATTTGTGTCTGTGGTCATATTAAAGCATCAAATGTTTGCCTTTTTTTACCCATTGGAATCTGCCCTGGATCCCCTCAGGGAGATAGGGCAAAATATAAATAAAATTTGTATTATTATTTTTTATAACATAGGCACAATTTGTTCCCTTTTCCCTGTGCTGATGAGTAATCTGGTTTCATAAGTCTTGAATCCCACAATTGTTCAGTGTAGGTAAAATTATGTGGATAGAAGGATTCTAGCTGCTGAATAAGTGCTGAGGAATTACAGATTATAAAGACAAATTATAATGTCAGGCAGTCATAAGGAATGCAGATAAGTGATATTTTTGGCTTGATGGTATAATAACATGATACATACTTTTATAAAGTAACATTTTGGTTTTGATTTCACTGAGTAATGACAGTGGGTCATTTCTCAAAAGATTGCTTTGAGTAACAAATTATTTTTTGAAAGTAATGTACTAAACTTTTTGTTAGTTTGAATTGCTACCAGAAACATGACTCCTAAACCACATTGTTATATCTCTAACAATTACTCTGGTATTAGCGATTCATATTCAGGATCCAAAGAATTGTGTTTCTTCAACTCATGCCATATCACTTTTGAGAGCAAGAGGGTTTTCCATAGCATACTATGATGCCTGGGTCTGATGCATGGAGAAAAACACAATATAAATAAAATAAGTAAATGATTTGGGGTGTGGGAATGGATCAACTTTACAAAAATTAAATATCCCATTGATCCTAGTTTCTTAGCTGAATGTCTAAGATGGATCCCACATGTTTGTATATTTACATATGCTCTTTTTCCCACTTGTGTTATCACTTCTTACAATTTCTAGTTACTGCTTCTCTTTTATCTGCACGTTATAATAATCACATAAGTGATACAATAGGTTTCTTTATTTCACTTCACTTTTTTGAAAACAAAAACAGAATCATGAACTGCAATACCTAACTTCCTAATAGTTTGTTCTAATTTCCAACAATTTTGTTTTGTCTTGACTAGCCTTTGTTTCTTGTGTAGCTTGTTGTTTATTTGTTCAGTTGCTTCTGACTCTTTGTGAACTTATGGACCAGCCCACGCCAGAGCTCCCTGTCAGCCGTCGCCACCCCCAGCTCCTTCAAGGTCAAGCCAGTCACTTCAAGGATAACATCCATCCATCTTGCCCTTGGTTGGCCCCTCTTCCTTTTTCCTTCCATTTTCCTCGGCATCATTGTCTTCTTCAAGCTTTCCTGTCTCATTATGTGGCCAAAGTACTTCTTCTTTGCCTCTAATATCCTTCCATCCTGTGAGCAGTTGGGCATTATTTCCTGGAGTATGGACTGGTTTGATCTTTTTGCGGTCCAAGGCACTCTCAGAATTTTCCTCCAGCACCACATTCAGAAGCATCTCTCTTTCTTCGCTCAGCCTTCCTTATGGTCCAGCTCTCACATTGATAGGTTATTACGGGGAATACCATTGCTTTAACTATGCACATCTTCGTTACCAGTGTGATGTCACTACTCTTCACTGTTTTATCAAGATTGGTCATTGCTCTCCATTGCTCTAACAGCAACCCAGCTTTTGTACTTTCTTCTTTCTTCTTGGTTAGAAGGCTCCTCAGCTCCTCCCCCCTTTCAGTCATCAAAGTGGTATCACCTGCATACCTAAGGTTGTTAATGCTTTTTCCAACAATTTTAACTCCAGCTTTGGATTCATCAATCCCCGCATGGCGCATGATGTGTTCTGCATACAAGTTGAATAGGTAGGGTGAGAGTATACAGCCCTGCCATACTCCTTTCCCATTCTTGAACCTGTCTGTTATTCTTTAGTTTGCTCTTACTGTTGTTACTTGGTCTTGGGTAGCTGGGTATGTCAAAAATAATGAACTGTGTGACACAAAATCTCATGGAAGCCCTATAATGATGACTAAGGTGAAACAAGTTTTTCACCACTGCTTTGGCAACAAGAAAATTAATTATAGTATCTCAGTTTTTATTTATATTAAAACTAATGTGAATATTGGCAGCCAGGCTAAAGGAAGTACTAAAAGAAAGAATACACAAAGACCAGACAGGATTTCTGCCGGGACGACATATTAAGGACAACACAAGAATAATATTAAATGCTATAGAGTATTATGGAAAACATAATCAAAAAGAGGTGGGCTTTTTGTTTTTAGATGCTGAAAAAGCCTTTGACAAGGTTAATTGGAGTTTTATAGTGGAATTGATAAAAGAAATGGACATGGGGTATCACTTTATTGATGCTATTAAAGCAATTTACACTCAACAATCAGCAAGAATTATAATAAATGGACAATTAACAACAGAATTTAAAATAAATAAGGGGACAAGGCAGGGGTGCCCTCTATCCCTGCTGATCTTTATTATGACATTAGAAATTTTATTAGTGGCCATAAGAAGCAACCAAGAGTTAAAAGGGCTAAGTGTGAAACTAAATAAATATAAGACATGTACGTTCGCGGACGACATAGTCTGTATAATGGAGGACCCAATAGACCAATGGACTAAATGGTGGAGAGTTATAGAAACATTTGGAGAGGTGGCGGGATTAAAGATTAACAAAGAAAAAACTAAATTTCTCACAAAAAATATACAAAAAAAGAGAAAAGAAGAATTGCAAGAAAAATCGGGGATAAAAGTAGAAACAAAAATAAAATATTTGGGAGTTTAAATCACAGGCAGTAATGCTCAATTACTAAAAAAACTATGAAAATAATGGCGTGAAATCTAAGAAAAAATGACAAGATGGCAGAGACTAAATCTTTCACTGATGGGCAGAATATTGATAGTGAAGATGAATAAGCTTAAAGATAGTTTCTGTAAGTGAGAATTTGACATACGAAAGCATCCCATCTGGAGCTCTCCAGATATTTGAGACTGCATCTCCTATTAGGCTCAGCCAGCATGGTCAAGGGTTAAGAATGGTGAGGTTTGTAGGGAAAATGTCTAAGGGTTTGAGGGATTTCCATCCATCGGTTAATTTTATTTTCAACTTTTAAAAGATCACAATTTGATGTGTCCTTTTCAAAATAACTAAACAACTCAGCAGTGCAGATACATAATTAAAACACAATATAAGATTTTTTTTATCATGTCAGAAGTGACTTGAGAAACTTCCAGTTGCTTCCGGAGTGAGAGAATTGGCTGTCTGCAGAGACATTGCTCAAGGGACACCTGGATGTGTTACCATCCTGTTGGAGACTTCTCTCATGTCCCCACATGGGAAGCTGGAGTTGGCAGACAGGAGCTCATTTCATCTCATGGATTTGAACTGCCAACCTTCAATTCAGCAGTTCAGCTGGCACAAGGTTTTAACCCATTGCGCCACCGTGGCTCCATGTTGTTGTTGTTCATTCCTTCAGTCGTCTCCGACTCTTCGTGACCTCATGGACCAGCCCACACCAGAGCTCCCCCTCCACCGTCACCACCCCCAGCTCCTTCAAGGTCAATCCAGTCACTTCAAGGATGCCATCCATCCATCTTGCCCTTGGTCGGCCCCTCTTCCTTTTGCCTTCCACTTTCCCCAGCATAATTGTCTTCTCTAGGCTTTCCTGTCTCCTCCTGATGTGTCCAAGTACTTCAACTTTGTCTCTAGTATCCTTCCCTCCAGTGAGCAGTCGGGCTTTATTTCCTGAAGTATGGACTGGTTGGATCTTCTCTGGCAGTCCAAGGCACTCTCAGAACTTTCCTCCAACACCACAGTTCAAAAGCATCTATCTTCCTTCGCTCAGCCTTCCCTAAGGTCCAGCTCTCACATCCGTAGGTTACTACAGGGAATACCATGGCTTTGACTATGCGGATCTTTGTTGCCAGTGTGATGTCTCTACTCTTTACTATTTTATCGAGACTGGACCTTGCTCTCCTCCCAAGAAGGAAGCGTCTTCTGATTTCCTGGCCACAGTCTGCATCTGCAGTAATCTTTGCACCTAGAAATACAAAGTCTGTCACGGCCTCCACATTTTCTCCCTCTATTTCCCAGTTGTCAATCACCGTGGCTCCATACAATATAAAAGTTAAGTCAAGACACCAGGAAGCTCGGAATAAACATAGCTTCAGAAAAAATAGTTTCAAAGTGTCAATGGATGAAGCTCATTAGAAAAAAATGAGCTATTTGTTCAAAGTGATATTTAGAAAGAATGAATTTAAGAAAAAGAACTTTCCATTCATTTTTGGACTTCATAGATACAATCTGTATGTTAAATATCCCTTGATAAACTAT